AGAGCCATCAGCCAAGGCAGAGGCCATCCTGGGAGACTGTGAGGAAGAGCTCTGGGCTGGGTGATGGGGAAGAGAGACCACGAGGAGCCTTCAGACAGGACTGCAGGCCCAAGGGTCACCAGCAGGGAAGTCACGGGGGCTTGGCCCCTGCTGGGGGCCCATCGCCACCCCCTGTGAGTCAGGCAGTTTAGCTTCCCAAGTCCACTAATATGAAAGACAAAAAACAGACTGGACAAATGTTTACTACAAAAAACATTTGGTGTTTCTTATTTGTGAGAAAATTTAAAACTTTACAAGAGGACATAAAGCTTTGCTATATGGAAAAACATTTTATCGTGCAGGATGAATATTATAAAGATCATTTCTCATCTAACCTAATCTACAAACCTATTCTGATTCATTCATTCATTCAATATTTATTGAGTGCTTACTATGTACCAGTGTGTTCTAGGCACAGGGGAAACAGGAGGGAACAAAACAGACAAAAATGCCTGCCCTTGTGGGACTTACATTCTTAAAGTTGGTGAGAGACAGACAAACAAAGGACTAAAGAAGTAAGTCACCATGGCCAGCCCCGTGGCCAGGTGGTTAAGTTCACGCGCTTCACTTCAGCAGGCCGGGGTTCACCAGTTCAGATCCTGGGCGCAGACCTACACACGGCTCAGTAAGCCATGCTGTGGCAGTGTCCCACACAGAAGAACTAGAATGACTTACAACTAGGACATACAACTATGTACTGGGGCTTTGGGGAGAAAAAAAAAGGAAGATTGGCAAAAGATGTTAGCTCAGGGCTAATCTTCCTCACCAAAAAAAATAAATTACATAGTATAGTGGAAGATGAAAAGTGCAATAGACAAAAATCAAGGACAGTATAGAGATTGTGGGGAGGGTGGAGAGTTATAATTTAAAGTAGGCTGAGAAGTAACATCGGAGCAAGATTTAAAGGAGGCAGCGGGGCAAGAGTGCACTTTGTATGCTCTAGGAGCAGCAAGGAGGCCGGTGTAGCCAGAGCAGGATCAGTATTCACTGACACTTGGCATCACCTGAAGATACTTTTCATTGTCACAACTGGGCATAGGGGTGAGGGCTTGCTATTGGCATCGGACGAATAGAAGCCAAGATGCTGCTGAATTTCCCACAGTGCACAGAACAGCTCCCTACAACAAAGAGTTACTTGGTCCCAAGTGCCAGCAGTGCTGAGGTCAAGAAACCCTAGAGAGGGAGGGAGAGTGGTAGGAGAGAGAGCCAGACAGGTAAATGCAAACCAGGGTTTTTTTGGAACTAGAGAAGCTGACTCAGAAATTCTTATGGAAAAATACATGAGAATAGCTAGGGGGAAAAATTAAAAAGAATAGGCAGAGTAACTAGCTTCACTGTATCTTATACTGTAAATATTTCTATGACAAATGACTAATTTCCTTAATATATAAAGAGTTCTTACAGATGAATAAGAAAAGGCCTTTTTAAAAACTCTTGGGAAAAATGGGAGAAAGACAGAGTTTACCAAAAAAAAGATAGACAAATGGATTATAAACACATAAAAAAATGTTAAACATTACTTGCAATTTAAAGAAATGAAAATGAAAATCATGAGATAGCATTTTTCAACTATCAGATTAACAGCAATTGAGAAGTTTGATTATACACAGCGCTGCTAAGGATGTGGGAGAATATGGTATCATGCACAGTTCTTGAGAGTGCATGGCCCCTTTGGAAAGCAATTTGGCAATATCTGTCCCAGGTTTAAATATACATCCCCTTTTATCTGGCATGCCATTCTAGGAAAGTGTTCTCCTCACATACGTTCACAAAGATGTAAGTACAGACACATTTATTACAGTATTAGCAAAAGACTGCAGAACATCCAAATGCCCTGGACGGGGGGCTTGCTTATTGTATGGTGTATACTTACAAGGGAATCTATGCAGCTTTTAAAAAGACTGCAGCTTGCTGCTAGGCACACATCCACGAGAAATGAAGACATACATCCACAAAAAGACTTGTACAGAGAATTTTACAACAGCTTTATTCGTAATAGCCCCAAACTGGAACAACCCCACTGTCCATGAAAGGAGAATAAACAAATGGTGGCATATCCATACAATGGAACGCTACTTAGCCATGGTAATAAAAGGAGGGAATAGATACACACAACAGCAGGAAAGAATTTCAAAAGCATTTTGTTGAGCAAAATAAATCAGACACAGAAGCGTCTGTACTGTATGACTCCATTGATATGAAGTTCAACAGGTGACGCTAACCCCTGGTGACAGACGTCAGAACAGGGGCTGCCCAGGGAAGGTGCCAATTACCGGAAGGGGCAGAGAAGTTTCGCGGGGAAGGAAGTGGAAGTGGGCTGTTGCTTACACAGTGTATACAGTTGTCCAGATCATTGAATTGTACACTTAAGATCTGTGTGATTCACTGAATTTAATTTTACCTCTATTTAAAACCAAAATTAAATGTTGAATGAAAAAAAACTGGTCAAATTTCGTATGTCCTGAAATGGGATAATCTCCAAATAAATTAAGGGGATGGGGTGGAAATAAGGAGAGAAAATGTATATAGTATGCTCCCATATGCAATAAAGAGCATATATATATCTCTTACATAAGCTTGTATATACATAATGTTTCTGGAAGGGTACGTGGGAAACTTGACAGTGGCTGCCTGCCTGGAGAGGGGTGGAGGCCTCAAGGCCTGAAGTGGGAGGGACACGTCTTAAAACTTTTTGCACTATACGGATTTCTTTCACTGTGTTCATGTGAACTGTTTTTAATATAAAAACTAGGTAAAATTTCTTGATAGGGTAATAGGGTGTGCTGAGATTGAATTTGATAGCTGGATGCAAAAAGCTGCTCTCAGGCTGCCGGCAGTGGGCGGCCTGCATCTCTGAGGGTGGAAGTGGGTGTTTGGACAGGCGGATCAGGGAAGCGCCTGGAAGAGTGCCTGGGGCAGGGAAGTGAGAACCTGAGTCCTGCTCAGGACACCGAGGGAAATAAACTGAATATCCAATTGCAAGGATTTCAGCCTGACATGATAAGCTCTCTGTTGAAAAATGTGAAAACCCATCCCTTGGTGTGGAAGATTTATCTTGATGGAAGTTTTTTTTTTTTTTTTTAATGTGAAAAGAAGCTTCCCTGGTGGGTTGGGAGACAAGGTTTTTAAGAGGCTGTGGGACTGGGGGAGAGAGTACCTGGAAGCAGGAGTTCTGAGCTGAGAATGGGACTGCCAGGAGTAGTTTTCAACCATCCAATCCAGCGTTTGGTCTTTATTTCCATAAAGAAGAACATGCCGTTACCTGAGAATGTTCGTATCTGTTTTGGGAACTGGACTCTGCTAGTGAGCTGATGCCCTGCTTGGATCGGAGCAAGAGTCTCGCTGTCAGTTATTGCTGTCAGGGCGTGAGAGATGGTGAGGAGGAGAGGAGACTTCCCCGTTGCCGGGAGGTGCCCTGCTCCCTGGCCCTGCCACAGCCAGAGGCCCAGGTCTTTCCCTAAGGAAGTTCTCTGCTCCGAGGGACAGGGAAGGACCCAATTCCAGGATGAGAGGATAAGGAACCCCAGGGGCCTGACCTTTGGAAGGCATAGAAGTGACCTTTGTGGAGTCCAGCTAACCTTGGGCCCCAATGTCTGATCCAGATGCTAAGAAGAGAGAACTCAAGGGTCTCGGGTAGAACCTCTTTACAAAATGTAAGAGGCAGAATATCTATGGGGCAAGGTCTGAGAGGGCTTTCAGTAAATGGCTAAGACCCAGACGTGGGCAGGGAGTGGGTCCTGTAATGGACTCCAAGCTGAGACAGCGTGGGGACTGGGGGCAAGGGCTGCATCTGGCCCAAGCAGATGAAGGGTAAGAGGATATATGACTCTGGGAAAAGGCCCTTAGAAATCCTCTAGCTCAGCCTTTCCCTGATGGAAACTGAGGCCCAGAGAGTAGACTGACTTGTTCAGTGTCAGATGTCAGGACCAAGCTCCGTCCATAACTCAGACTGTAGCCTCCCAGTTCACTGGGTCTCCTGGAGAAGGCCTGGCCTTTGAGAAGTGGAGGCAGAAGTGAAGCCCTTGACCAGACACCCACATTCTCTCTTCCTACCTAGGAATGTGTTTCTCCTGAATTCCATGGAAAGGGAGCCACTCAAGTAGCCTGGAGTGAGGGCAGCCCTGTGAAAGGGTCATAATACCAGACCCTGTTCACCACCTACCCAACAGCTCCCCTCCTTTTTTCCTTCCAGAACCCAGACTTTGTAGTGGTTGGAAATCTCTTGATTTCAGAAAACATAGGCCATTTACCCAAGCCCAAAAAATGAGTCCTAACTGTTATCATGGTATTCCAGTGGTATTCTAAGTCCCCTTTGTCAATGATTGGTCTAAAGGTGGGCATATGACCTGGTTCTGACCAATAAGACATAAAGCGAAGACTGTATGGGGCTTTGAGGAAGCTTTTGTTTTCTTAATAAAAAGGAAAGATGCGGTAGGCACTGTCATGCCCCCACCCAGCACCTCTTTCTTCCCGCCTTCAATGCAGATATGTATATAGCATGAGGGTCAAGCATGACAGTAAAGGCATGATACCCCAAGGATGGCAGGGTGGACGATAGAGCCCAAGTCCTTGGTGGCTTGAGTGAGCTGCTGGACCAATGCCAACAACCATCTCCTCTCAGACTTCTTAAGTAGACATTAAATGCCTTATGGTTTAAGCTGCTGTCAGCTGGATTTTTCTCTTGCTTGCAGCCAAAAGCAATCCCGATGGGCATTGGCCATAAATGTTAGTGCAACTCCAGCCAACTTCCAGAGAGGTTGTTTAGAAACAGCCAGTGGTCAGCCTCCTCAGCGGTGGGGTCTGCTCTCCTGAAGCCCCCACGCAGCTTTCTTGTCAGCCCTCAACCAGATGGAGTCTAGTAGAGTCCTCCTTCCACCCCGCCACATCCTCCCCCAGCAGCCTGGCCAGTCCTGCTCATCCTTCAGTGCCCACTTTGGATGACCTTCACTGACTACCAGGTATGCATCTGATTGACCACACTGATCAATCATTTATTTGTCAGTCATCCTTATGGTGGCCTGCTCTGGGTCGGTCACAGAGCTGGCACTGGACTCAGCAGGCAGTGCAAGTCCTCAGGGGCGTCTGCTCAGCCTGAGGGGACAGACACGTCCACAGCAGCGGTGTGGAGAGCACGACAGAGGGGTGAGCCAGTTCTATGCTGGGGGAGGGAGCAGGTAGCCTTTTTCATACCGCTCTCTCCAACCAAATGCTTTGCTGCTTCAGGCAAAGACCAGCCATGTCTGCCCCAATGTGTCCTGAACCCATCTCAGAGGCAGCTGCACAAAGGGGCTCTCATTCAATGAGCTTCCCTGAGCAGGCAGGCCCTTTGTGGGCGGGGCGGGGGTGGGGGGGGGGAGTCTTGCTCCTGGCCACTCACCTTTCCCTACAGGCCGTGTAAGGCCAAGGCCCTGAGTGGCTAGAGAAAGGAGCAGTGGACATGGAGCGGAAGACCTGGATTGGAACCCTAACTGCCACTAACTTGATGTGTAACTTTGGACACGTCACTTGGCCTCTGTGAGCTTCGGTACTCTTGAAAGAGGAACAAGGATAATGACACCTGCCTCTCTCACAGGGCTGCTGCAAAGATGGATGAGGTAACTAGCGGACGCCCCAGGCATGGCATGGGGAGGCCTGGCACAGAGGGTGGGCACCTGCCCCACCCCGACCCATGGCAGAAAGCTAGAGACGGTCAGCACTGCGCACCTTTCCATGGGAGACAGTCGGAGTGGCCAGGAGTCATCCCACCCAAGGAAGTAGATACATGCTTGGTCCTTGAGGGGGTGTCCTTGGGTTCTCGTACTTTCTCCTGCCCAGAAAAATGCCATCAATGGACCTCGTATATCTGCCACTGCCTCTCTTCCAGGGCAGCACAAGAGAGAAGGAAAAGGAGGTTGGGGCAAGAGGGTGGGTATCTCATTTCTCTCACAGGGGTGTTGAGGGTCCCATGGCCACACTGGGGTCTGCCCAACAACTTCAGGGAGATTCCCTCCCGGGCAGGGGCTGTCGGCTCAGTCGCCACAGCATGGCTGTGAAGGCCAACAGCAAAGGGGAGGCTTCCCCAAGAAGCTCAAACTCTGGCGTGACTGACAAACTCTGAAGGCACCCTGCTTTTGGCTGTAAACAGCTGTGTCCACTCTGAGCCTCCAGGTGAGGAAGGACCTAGATAGCCAACTGTGGCCCCAAAGGAGCCATCACTGCTGCCTGTACCTGGAGTGTGATCCCAGCTGTGGGGTGGCAGGAAAAGTATCTCTCGGGAGAGCCACACTGAGCTGCCTGGGAGAACAGGGGATGCTGGAGGGCCCCAGCCGGTGGATCCCAGCAAATACTGGACCAGACAACAAAGGGCCCGAGGAGGTGAAGGCGGTTCCTGGAGAGCTGGGAATGGGATCCAAATGGTCACTTAAAAAGGAGCGAGGCAAGGAGGAGAGCAGGTTCACCCATGGTGCACTGTGGGTGGTGTCATCTGGAAGTTACTTCAAGTTCCTCATCCTTCGGGGGTGGCACCATCCTCCTGGTGGTTCCAGGAGGCTCTGATTCCCACTCTTGCTCTGGCAGTAGGAAGCTACCCATGACCAGACTTTCTGTCCCTGGGCTGGGTTGCCCCTTCTGAGTGACAGGAGCGAAGCAAGGCGGCCCATGGTAAGCTGGAAGAGGCGCAGGCTCTGGAAGATCGTTTTCTCCCCTCCAAGATGGGGATCTGATTCCCACTTAGATAACCCTGGGACTAAGAAAGTGGACACCAGAGCCCAACATGGGGCCCCCTGGAGACTGAGTAGGGGCAGGAGCCTGCATCCTGGGCCCTCTGCAGCCTGCCTGTCCCTGAGATGATGACTGGGCCCTGGGAAAGATGGATGCCAGCAGCCTCTTGGGAGGCCCCTTCACTTCTGAGCCTGCCCTCCGGCTGCCTATCCCCAGCTATGAGCCCTGGCCTAGAGGAAGAGGTGGCCTGTTGGCTGGGTATCAGTGGGGTATGGGCATCATTGGGTTACTTTGGGGTATGAACCCCAGAGCTCTTTTGCAAGGTGAGCCGGAAGGTTCAGGAGTCCTCAGGAGGGCAGGAGCTGTGTCGGTGGTCTTGCAGCTCTTCCTAAGTCTCAATATGCGTCACATTAGCCCAGTCAGGGAAATGATCCAAGTCAAATATGACTCGTCCCCACGTGTTGACCGCCAAAAACACACAGAAGACGCCAATTATGTTCATCATTAGTCCTGTTTTCACCTGGAAAAAAACAGGGTGAGAGTCAGCACGTGCAGGTCTGGCAGGCTGTCAGAACAAAGGTGAATGGGACACTGGGAACTAGTGTTCTTGGAGAAGGGGACAAAGGCTGGTTTGCTGGGCCTCCCGTCCCTGGGCCATGCTCTGTGCGCACCCGACCCACAGACAAAGCAACCTCCTGTCCAGTAAGCTTCATCAGTGTTCAAGGCATCCCTGGGAAACAGGCAGAGCAGGGGGGTTCTCTGTGCCCACTTGAGCATCTGAAAAGCCGGGCCTCAGGGAGGCGAGGCGAGGCGCGGCAAGAGCCCCAGGCCGCTCAGGGAGTTATTGGGGGAGCCCGGGTCTGAATCGAGGTGCGGTGCTCACCCATGCACCTTCACCGTCCCGAGAACCTCCTCTGGCTCCTTCTGATGCTTGCCCCGCATTCTCTCCGCGTGCTCGTTAACCATCGCTTTCAAACCCTGCTGTAGATTTGTTGCTGCAGATTGGAATCGAGTTTGCAGCCCGTGGTTTCTGGGCGCCACCCTCTTTGTGAAAATGCTCCATGGAGTCCCAGAGATACTCAGCGGAGGCTTTGAGATAATGAAGCCCTGATTGGGCTGAGGTTGGGCCCTTCATTTCTGGCCTGCCCCACTTGCACACTTGCCCTCCTTCTCCCGTCAGAGGTGATAAAGCCACAGAGGCATGAAGAGTACTTCCTTGGCTGCCTTTGTTTCCAAGGCGTCATCTGCCCCCAGGCAGTGGTCTCTCTGCCCCTCCCTGCTCTATGTCTACAGACATACAAACCTCTCTGGCTGTCACTAGCATTTCCCCCATCTCAGTCATGTCGACCCCCTGCTCCTCCCCCTTCTGAGGGCTCAGCAAGGGCTCCCCTGGGGCTGCTCTGGCACCTCCAGGTGGGAGATTTTATAAGCCACCTCTTAGCTTTGGGAGATAGAACAGTCTGTGAAATTTGAGATCATTTCAAAAAAGAAGAAAAACTGCACACGAATGCAAATCGTGAGTATAGGTGTGACGTTCAGTAGTATTCCCAAGCGATATGACATCATGCATCATCACATATGAGGTCATTAATAAATAGGGCATCCTTCGTGACAAAAGCATCATAGCTGATAGGAGTAAATAAAAGGGCTGCGTTACCATGTCAGAAACCTTGAGGTGTCCGTAGGCAAACACGATGGCGTTAGGTGGGGTGGCCACAGGCAACATGAAGGCAAAGGACGAACTCAGGGTGCAAGGGAGCATGACGTACAGCGGATTGAGGCCAATGGAACGTGACTGGGGAAAAACACAGCACTGCCATGTCACAGACAGAAAACAAAGCTCCGGGGAGGGACCACCATTCTCAAACGCACTCCCCTAATGCACTGCGTCGTTCCCACCTCTGTGCTTTGTTCCACTGGGTCCGCTACCCTAGCCACGTCTCTGGATGGTAACTCTGCTGGACCCTGAAGGCTGAACTCAGAGCCACCTCCCCAGGAGGCCTTTCTGAACCTCCTCAATTCACTCAATAGATGATATTTCTTGGGTGCCTACTATGTTCCAGAGACTGTGCACTTAGACTGCACTGAATCTTGCGGTGTTCCTGTAGCCCACATGTGCACATCTGTTTGTCCTGCCATGCACCGAGACAGCCTAGAGGGCAGGGACAATGTCTTCTCACTCATGTTTGCACCTATGTATGCATGCATTTTTATACACATTTGGGATCGTTTTGCATATGGAATTAGGTATCCATCTTTTTTTACTCCGCAGCTTTAAATTCAGCCACATCTAACAGCGCCTAGCACAGAGTAGATAGACACTCATTAAATTCCATTTGTTGAATGAATGAATTATATAATTCATAATATCTGTCAATATGTATCAAAATTAATAATTTATCCTGCAAATTTACATGCACGTGAGGGGAGACACATATGCAGAGATGTTCATTGCAACATTATAACAGTAAAACACACAGGAAACAGACTCAGTTGTAGGATGGTTAAACAAAATATGTATATACAAACAATGGAATAGTTTGCAGCTGTAAAGAATTGGGTGAGTTTTATGTGCTAACGTGGAAAGATCTCAAAGATGTATGGTTAGCTAAAAAAAAAAAAAATTAAGATGCAGAGACAGGACCATAGAATGATACCATTTGTTTAAAAAGTGTGTGTGTGTGTGTAATACATCCAGAAAGATACCTAAGAAATTAGTGACAGAAGCTGTCTCTGGGAAAGAGGGTGGAGGGTTAGGGACTGTATACTCTTTGGTATTATTAGACACTTTTTGGCCATGTATATGTATTACATTTTCAACTTTAAAAAATTATACATGTTCCCATTTTATTAAATACCCTTCAAAACTGTGATTTTTTTAAAAAAAATGGCTTGATAGTATTACATTGTATGAATACATAACTAATTTCACCAATACCCTACTATTATGGGAATGTTTTTATAATAAATAATTCTGTGATGTGCATCTTTATAAGATATGCTTGGAGGCGTCTCTGATGATTTCCCTAAGACAGAGTCCCAGACATGGAATTGCCAAGTCAAGGGTGTGAGCAGGTTTCAAGTTAGGCTTCCCGTGCGTAAACAGGGCTTGAAGAGGCTGCACAGTTACACTCCCTCTGGGAGTGACTGAGGGTCCCAGGCAGGGTTTCCTGGTTCCCTTACTTGTCCTGGCCCTGGGGACACATGGTGTGTGCACCCCACGTCCCTCTGCGACCCAGCTGGGAGGTCACCTCTTTTCCCTTTCCTGAAGGATGGTGCTGAGGCAGGAGTGTGAGGGGCCTTGGAGGTAGCTGTGGGGAATCTTACTTGGGGCTTCTGGTTCTAGAAAAGCTTGTTTTCAAAGGGCCTGGCCACCCCCTCAGCTGAAGACCTCCATTTGTCTGGCTTGGGGCTGGAGGTGACAAAGCCAGGACTTGGCTAGAAGAGGGAAGGCTTCACCACCACACTCCCAGCATCCAAAGATGCTCCTCGGCCTCTGTCTGGGTAGCCTGCTTAGAGGAGCGGGGGATGGGGCCACCTTGCTATTTCCAGCACTTTCATCTTCTCTTGGAATGGAAGGAGAAAACCACTTGAGTTTGCTTTTTATACATGCGGACGCCCCGGCAGCCGAATGGAAATTTACCAACTTCAAGCCTGTGTTGAGGCCTTTGTATGTCTGTCTCCCAACTCCAGAATGATAGCCACGGCCTCTCCCAGGCTCGTTTTGCAGTCTAAAGAGGATTCTCATAGCCTTCCTCTTACTTGACCCTCAGCACAAGTGTAGGAGGAAAGAACTTAAGTGACATGTTCGAGGATCCCACAACTTGAACTCGGGTCTTCTGACTCCAAGCCAAGGGCTCTTTCTGTACCACCTTGAGGTCAGTACTGCCATGTGATGAGTGACAGAAGGAAATGCAAGGAGAGATCACATCTGATTTTCCTATAAGTTCTGCTTTCTTCTCCATCCCAACTCAAAACTATGCTTGCCCACAGAACGAAACTCTTCAGCCTGGCACTCAGCAGCCCCCTCCACCATCACCCACCACCTTTCTGGGCTCAGCTCCCACTGATCCCTAATCCCTGGGCTCGCCAGGTGAAGCTTCTGGGAATCTTCAGTAATGCACCCCGTTTCCTCTACTTGGGCTACTCCATCTTCCCAGGTCGTCCTCTCCCCTCCCGCCACTCCCAAACCCCAGTTCCCCCATGATCTCTTCCTGGTGGGTCCCAGCCAGCGACGTCCCCCTGCTCTGCAGTCCTCCCACACACCTGTGCTACATCTTCAGACCCTCTCTCATTCCCCTGTGGCATTGCCCACTCCTCCTGGGGCAAGTCCTGTCAGGGGTTGACAGCTTCCTATGAATCCATGGCTAAGGGTTGTCCCCCTAAGCAGGGTTACTTACCATGGAGGCAAAGATGGGCAGGAACAGGGTGGTGGTGGCCACGTTGCTTGTGCACTCAGTGCACACAGCAATGAGGAAGGACAAGATCAAGGTGATGGCTGCTGGGGGCACAGCTTGCAAGGGCTCCATCTGCTTCCCCATCCATTCGGACAGCCCCGAGGCCTGGGAAGCAGCGGGAGGGCAGTTACTGCAGGGCTACTGGTGACAGTTCCTCCAGGGCCAGGAGGGACCGTCATCTTTCTCCAAGGAGTCAGCCCAGCCTCCACCTCTCATTCGCTCTCTGCATATGCTCCATAGGTGATCTCATCCATGCCCACGATTTCAGTCTCCATCCGCACTCTGCTATCTCCTAAATCTGTGTTTCTGGCCTAGCTGGTCTACTATCCGGATTTCCACCCAGATGTCCTGTGAGCATGTCAGACTCAACACGCCCCACCCTGAACTCATCCTCGCTAGCCCAGAGTCTGCTCCCCAGCTTGGTGAATGGACTCGCCATCCACCCGCTGTCCAATCTGGAAGGCTGGGAGTCATCCTGGGGTTCTCTGTCCCCTTTTTCCTTGTGCCCAATCAGTGACCAAGTCACCCAGATCATTTCATGTCCATTATCTCCTCTCCGTCTCCCACAGTTCTGGAAGCTCAGGAGAGTGATTTCAGCCAGAAATCGGGAATTTATATTTGGGGCTTTGGGCTGAGAAGAGATCGTCCAGGGAGAGAATGAAAAGTGAACAGAGACGAGGCCAAGGACAGAGTTTTGCGGAACAGTCATATTTAAGGGAGAGCAGAGGATAGGTCATCAGAGGAGGCAAAGCAGGAACAGTCAGAGCTAGAAGGGCACCAGGAGAGAATGGTGTCTTGGGGTTCAAAGGAGGAGGGAGTTTCAAGGAGAGAAAGTTCCATGGCGTCCAGTGTTATGAGACTGAATTAGATGAAAGCTATGGAGCGTCTACTGGGTCTCCCCCAACTTCTGCCCTGCCCAGCCCTCCACTCCAGACATGAGAATGATTTTTCCCAAGTGTAGATTTGACCAAATCGTTCTCTGGCCTTAATCTTTCAGTGGCTGCCCACCGCCTTCAGAATAAAATCCACACTCCCTCTCTTGACCCTCAGTGAAGTGGCTTCTGCAAACCTCACCAGCCTCATCTTCTACTGTTCCTCAGCTAGACACCACTCACTTATTCCTATACTCACTTGTCACTTCTTCCTGAAATACTCGTCCGGATACATCCCCCTCTCTGGGCTGGGAAGTGCTCAAGAACAGGGCCCATATATCAGTCTCCTCTGTAATTCCCCTACCTGACCTAACACAGACATAATAGGAATGTTTGATGAATGGATGAATGAATGAGAGGTGAATAGATGGATGGATGACTGAATGGAGAAGTGACTGGACAAATGGATTTGTTCATTGAAACAATATTTGTGTACTCACTATGCACCAGGCTCTGTCCTAGATACTGAGGAAACAGCAATACAAGATAGACCAAGTCTATCTATTACATTCTATTCCTGGGTGGGTAGATGGATGGATGGATGGATGGGTGGATGGACAGACGTATGGACAGATGGATGAGTGGATGAATGAAAGATAGCGGCACCAAGCTGACTTATCCCTCCCTCTGGTTCATTACTTTCCTATCAGGTAAGGGGGGTTAAGAAAGTTACATTTTTGGGTGTTTCATCTCAAAATCTGTTCCTCTCCTTCTATGCTGCTACATACTTAGCTAGAGGAAAATTTTTAAATGGCAACCATATCAACAAAGAGTTCAACAAGTGGAAGACCCAGAGGTAATAGTGAAAATATTCCCAAGGACTTGAAAGAAAGATCTCCCTAGAATAAATCAAACCAAAGATCATTATTACCAAACCCCAAAGGAGACCTCACAGCATCCTCTCCCTCTCTTGGCTAACCAGGGTCACTTATTCACTGGTTTCTGCAATCAAAGAGCACTTTCTCTACTCCGGGCACTATTTGTGGTGCAGGGTTCCTGGACGACAAGACAGTCCCTGTCCTGGATATATGCACTTAGGAGGAGGAGACAGACACAGGACCACTCAGGCACAGCCCGGGGGCGGGGCTGGAGGGACACAGCAGTCCTTGGTGTAAGGAGGGGCCCTGGCAGCCCACAGCTGGAGAGGTTACCTCGCATCCCTTCGCCAGAGCAAATCCACCGCCCAGGAGCAGCACGATGCCCCACGGGACTTTCTCCTGGGCCACCTTCCAGTTCAGCAGGGCAGGCGGATAGAAGGGAGCTTTCCTTTCTGAGAAGAAACAACAAAACACACATACACAACCCAGAGCAGCATTAGAAAACAAAAGAGATCAAATCAAGGGGAATAAAAGCCTGTAAGGCCAACGAGGACCATCTCATGTCTGTAAAGTAGCTAAAATTTACAATAATTCCTGCACCCATTGCTGGTGAAGATAGGGTAAGCTCTTACACACGCCCAGTAGCAGTGTAAACTGGTGCAATCTTTGCGGAAAGCAATTTGCAATACATTTGAAGAGCCATGAAGACATATGTACTCTTTTACCCCAGTAACATCACTCCTAGAAACTTATCCTAAAGAAGAAACACCCTCAAAGAAAAAGCTGTATACGTGAAAACAGTAATTTGTAATAATGAAAAATTCAAAACAGCCAGAATATTCCATAAGAGGAGAAGTTACAGCCCTTCGATGCAAAATAATGCCGTTATTAAGAGAAAATAAATTTGAAGACTGTGGTAATAGCAGGAAATGTTTATAGCGTGATCCCAGGAAAAAACATGAAAACAAAAACAATGAAGAAACAGGATTCAAATTGTGTGTGTTTTGATTATAGTCATATAATATATACGCACATTAACAAAGACTGGGAAGAAGAGAGAAACCCAAAAAATGCTGATGGCATTATGGGAAATTTGAAACATTGTGCTGTTCCTGTCATAATATAAATAAGATTTCAAATATTTAAAAAGAAAAAGAGAAGCGATCTTGCACTAAATGATACCCCGGGAAGGCTGACAAACACCCTCTGCCCAGACGTGACCCAGCCAGTCCTCTTCCATAGGGTGCGACATTCTCCCTCTTGGGCCAGGGAATCCCATGGAGACCCCATGAGGCCCCAACCCTGATGAATGGGGGACCAGGACAGGAGACTTACCTTCCTCAGTCTGGCTGCAGAAGTTGAACTTGGGCTTCTGCGAAGGCACAATGAACAGCAAGATGGCCACAAAGATGGCCACGGTGGCGTCGGAGGCATACCTAGGTGGGGAAGAGCACACAGGGTTCGCCCAGCTCAGCTGCAGTGGCAGTCATTCAACAGAGCTGCTCTGTGACTGCTCCTACAAGAAGAAACAGGCTCAGCTGTGTATGAAAAGTGGGACCCCAAAGGCCAAGATCAGGAGTCAGGTGGTAGACTGAATCCTGGCTGGAAACCAAGACACCCACATTCCTGGCTCTGCCACCAACTTTGGGTGACCCAGAGCAGCTCGCTTCCCTCTCAGCCTGTGTGGCTCTATGGGTAAACTTCATGACCTCTTCTTGACCAGATTCTCTAGAGTTCTGGGCTCACCAGGGTGACCGCAAGGACTTTGGTGCTGACCCAGGCAGACTTCAATAGGAATAAGCAGTACCAGGCAGCTGGCTCCCGACCTGCATCTTCTGTCTTTTCTAGGATATGCGTGTTTCTCAACCTTTCTTCCATGCTGACCACAGAACATCTTAGCCAGGAAAAAAACTACATATACCCTCTTTTGCCAAGTCTCTGTCTAAAGAAACTTCTGGACCCCAGGATGTGTGTCTTTAGAGGGATCTTGCCTGGATCTGAAGAAAGAGGAGAAAGGAAAGATGGAAAGACATTGGAAACCAGAACTCTGGGAGCCCCACTCCTAGCCCAACAAGTCTCCCTCCATCACAGCCCTGGCCGCCCTGCCTGGCCAAGTATTTTCTGTTCAGCCTGTTGGGGGAGGAAGGGACACAGGAACACATCTGCGGGCTTGTCATGAAGATTGGTGAGAAAAAAATGAGTCATGAAACCAAGAGAGCACTCCAGAACTCCACGGCAGAAAGGAGGAGTGCCACGGAGGATGCTGGGGAAGGAGCGACTTACTGTGTCTCGCCTTCCACCCAGGTGATGGACAGCCAGCCGGGCATGAAGCCAGGGTCCCGGGAGAACCACAGGCCGACCAGCAGGAGGAAGCAGAGCAGGACGTTGACCTCAGCGAAGGAGAAGGGCCCCAGCTTTCTGTACTCCTCCTGCAGCACCTCGTAGGCCGCCTTCTCATTGTTCCTCCTCTCCAGCCCACAGCCCCAGGACTTTTTAAAGCTAGAGGATGCGAAGAGGAGAGAACAGCGGGGCAGGTTGGTTGGTCAGGGGCTTGTCGGATGGAAGCCTGAATGTTGGGCAGCAGAACATGGTGGAAAGGCACACGGTGCCGCCTGTCACTTGTGGGAGCCTTGAGCAAGTCACTTCCCCACTCCCCATTTCTGTTATCTGCCTACCCTACCTCACAGGACAGAGTTGGGGACAGTCTCTGTTATGCGTGCCCAGCACATGCCCCAGAGTGCCCCCAGAACTGGAGGGTGCTCCTAGAGGAGGCCTGAGATGGCACAGGTGGGATGGCCAGTCTGGACAAGCTCTCAGGGACAGTCAAGGCAGGAAAAGAGGGGATGGCCAGGAGGGCAGGAGGCTGAGCAGAACAGGAGTAGGGAGGTGAGGACAGGAGAATAGGAGGCGGAAATAAGCAGAACTGAGGCTACCACTGGCAACAGGGACCTAATAGGTGCCCAGTCGCCTGGAGACCAGCTGCCCCCATCATCTGGGGGAAGGCCGTGAGAAGTTCTAGAACTAGATCGAGGTGGGCCAGGCTCCCTCACATGCTCCCCGTCTTCCTCCTCCTACCGCAGGCTGGAACTGCCTCTGATGGTGCCAGGATGCCAGCCCCCATCATCAGAGTAGCTCAAGAGGACACAAGGAGCAAGGACGGGTCCAAGTAGACGGCCAGGCAGGAGCAGGCTGGATGCTTGTGTTCCAGGGGGCTGGATGTGGAGGATTAGGGATCCAGGAGACTCTGGCTATGGCAGAAAGGAAGCCAGCCTGGGCCCTGCTCTCAGATGGGCTCCCTGGGGACCAGTGCCCTTTGGCCAACATGGCCTGCCCAGGGTGCCCTGCAGGACCCCCCAGGGGGGTGCTGGCATGAGGGGGCAGGAAGGAGGAGGGATTCTTGGAGGAGGTGTAGAGGGTCCCCCAGCTGTGAGGAGGGGCTAACTGGGGCCGCTGGTGCACAGGACGCAGGCCCTGCAGGATTCTCTGAGGATCCCATTCACACATTCCAGCTCCTGTCAGCCTGAAGGTGGTGGGCAAGTCCAAGAGGACTGTCCCCAGGGAGCCCTTGCTTGTGGGAGTCCTTCCTGGGGCCCTAAGACAGACTTCTTAGGAGGGCAGGGACTTGTGGAAAAGGCACCGAGGTGCCAATTCCTGATGCCAGGGCTGCACGTGGACCGCCTTTGAGAGGGTGCGGGCCGTGCCGGTGGGGGGGGTCTGGCCTGGAGCACAGGACACGGGGACTTCAGGACACAGCTTCCCAGGGTGCTCAGTAGGAAAGGAAGTGGCGATGGGGTCTCCAGTCTACACAGCCTGCCAGGATCTCCATGCTGGACAAGGGACAAGGCTGTGTGTCCCGAGGGTCACCCGCCGGGGACAGCCTCCAGATCATCCAGTATGGCGATGACTCTGCAGGCATGGGAGGTCACCTCTCTGCTCTGGCTCCCTTGGTGTGCGAGAGTCTGCATTCTACCAAGCACCGATCTGCTGTCATTCTCGAGACTCGGGCTGGGCCAGAGGCTTCAGGTTTCCAGGATAAGTGACTTTGGTATTCCTAGCTGCTCAGCTCATGTCTGATGCTGGTGACACATCCTGACACCACAGTGGCTGCAGATTCAGGGGGCTGCCTCTTATATGCTGGTGTCCAATGCGAGCCCTGCACAGTGGTGCCACCAGCCTTCAGGACCCTCTTACACTAAGCAGTTTTGCTCTCATCTCTGAGTTAATCCTGCCTGGTGACCACTGGGTTGGCATAAGATGCAGGCAGATGGATCCAGTTTGCCTGTGGGAGCCCCAGGGGTGGGGTGGGCACACAGTGTCCTTCTGCAGCACGCTGATGAATATGCTGCAGAGCTGAGGAGAGGCAAAGGGACCTCAGCCCCGAGCGCCTCTGCCATGGCAAGGGTCCAGAAGACCCCTCATCCCTAATGCAGGGGAGTAGCCTGGTTAAGAAAGTTGGATATAAGCCAGCAGTAATACCCCGTTAGTCCTGGGTGGTCCTGGGGGGTCTGTGGCCCCCTTGGCTGGATGTGGCCTAGGAGGCTGCCCATAAACTCAGGAAGATCGTCCTTCTGGATTAGGCTAGAGGCAGCAACCTGGCATTGACTCCGCGACTGCCCGTTGAGGGACTCAAGCGAGGGCAACAGTAGACGCACTTCCCACAGCCAAGAGAGGTGCTCCCTTGCCTCAGGGGAGGAGGTCCAGGCGGTGTGGAGGGAGGGCCACCAGGTCCTGGTACGTGGAGGACATGGCTTGGACTGGAGGACACGCCCTGCTGTTCCTGTCATTCAAGCTGAGTGCAAAAAACTGTCCTGAGGCCGGCCCCATGGTGAGCGGTTAAGTTTGCGCACTCCACTTCTGTGGCTCAGGGTGCGCTAGTTTGGATACTGGGCATGGACCTAGCACCACTTATCAGGCCGTGCTGTGGCAGCATCCCACATAGAAGAACTAGAAAGACTTACAACTAGGGTATACAACTGTGTATTGAGGTTTTGGGGAGAAAAAAAAAAAAAGGAAGATTGGCAACAGATGTTAGCTCAGAGCCAATCTTCCTCACAAAAAGATAAAAAATAAAATAAAAACCTGTCCAAACAAGGCTATCGGTGAGCTACCCCACGCCACCCACCACACTCCACATCTGGTTGGCAAGGGTGGCATTCTGGGAATGAACTAGAGTGGCATTCTGGGAACCCAAACACAGGCAGACTCCAGAGGTCTCCAGGTGCCCTGCCAGTCAAGAAGAGCTGATGGAGGCCACGCCAGGCTGCGTAAGCTGCAGCTCAGGTTCTTGGCTGTGAGTTCCCAGGGGCCTGGAGACCCACTGGAGGCTGGCGGTGCCCTTGTGGCCTTGGGGCCAGGCCATCCCCCCCTCTGCTTGCTCTGCCAGGGAACTCAGGAGGCCTCAGGGCTTCAGGGCAGCCCCCCGAGGCTGAGGGGAGGCCACAACTGGTGCCCCTGACGCCTGGCTGTACCTCGGCTTCAAGGCAGCCAAGGGCAGCAACCTCGGCCTCCTCAAGAGGGGAGTGCTATGGACTGAATTGCGTCCCCCCAAATTCATAGGTTGAGCCCTAGCTCCCAGAGTGGTGGTATTAGGAGGCGATGCCTGTGGGGGTGATCAGGTTTAGATGAGGTCATGTGGGTGGGGCCCCTTAGGGGGATTAGTGTCCTTATAAGAAGAGGAAAGCACAAGGGCTCTCCCCTCCACCCTCCAGTGAGAGGCCACAGTGAGAGGCTGCCTTCTGCGAGGCAGGAAGAGAGCCCTCACCAGGACCCAAATCTGCTGGGGCAGCGATCTTGGGCTTCCAGCCTCCAGAGTGCTGAGAAAGAAACGCCTGTGGTGCAAGCTGCCCAGTCTGTGGCATTTTGTGGTGGCGGCCCGCGCCAACTGAGACAGGGATGGAGGGTGGGGGGCACAGGCTCCAGAGCCAAAACGCCTGAGTTCACATCTCAGTCCCACGACTTCCAAGTCATACAACCTGCGTCGGTCAGTTAACCTCTCTGTGCCTCAGCTGCCTTGTCTGTAAACTGGGAGTAACAAGAGCACCCACCTCCCGGGTTGACGTGAAGATTAATACGTGTGGAGTGCGTGATAAACACTCAGTAAATACTGGTTATTATTATTACGACTGCCCCGCGAGGAGACCCAGACACCGAGCTGCGGCAGGCTGGGGCAGGTCTGAGGCCTGCTGGGTGGATGCGAGCGAGCAAGCAGGACTTTGGTCCTGGAGCAGGTGCGAGAAGCAGGGCAAAGAGGCGCAGTGGAACCCAAGCTGTGCAGCAGGCCCCCAGGGGAGCAGCTTCCCGTGGATGCGGGGCGGGCAATGAGAGGGATGCCCCCTACGACTGTTACGTCATTAGGACTGTTTGATTACGTCTGGAGATTTTTTAACAGCAGTTTTCAAAACAGTTTCTCCTTCGCAATAAAACTTACCAAAATGCCCATTTTCCCCGTCAACTCACAGGTTTTCAGGGGCCCCTTTGCCTCTCAGCTCTGAGATCTGCTTCCTATGGCCGCACAGGCCCCTGTTTCTCATTGGCTCCAGCTCCCTGTGAACTAAGGCACAGAGCACGTGCTCACAGCTAAGGACTTTCCAGCCCAGTGTGAGGGAGTCCCCTTTGCACCGTAGACAGATTTGTGCCTTTTAAAATAACAACAGCTCTTTTGAGGTGTTTGTCAGCCACGAATCATGGCTTCTGTCCAGAGTCCAGCTGCTGTCAAGGTTGACTCCGGGTGCACTTGCCATGTGCTGGGAACAGAAGGTGACTTCCCAGAACCGCACGCTGCTGGGAACGGTGTGGGCGTCCAGTAAAGGTCTGGGTCTGGATTGATTTGGCCCTTACCGGGCAGTCTGCTGTGACCTGGCCTGAGGCACACATGCAGCCAAGTGGAAGTTTGTCCAGCAGTGTCGAGGTGCACACGAGGACAAGCTTCTCCTTAGTTGCTTTGACCCACATTGATGGCACACCTGCCCTTCCTCCCGGGGCCGGGAGCTGGGTGGGGTACAGCAACAGAGAGGACTTACCACAGTCCCCAGAGGGGCTCAGGTCAGGGGGAGGGACGGCCCTGGAACATGACTGCAGGCACCGAGGGAGAGGGCTATGAAGTGTCCAGGAAAGCCTAGGGGTGCAAGCACGGAATCCCCCCAAGACGGAATGGGGGAGGGGAAAGTCAGGAGAGGTGTGGCTGAGGAAGCAGGGTTTCAACTGGCCTTGAAGGCTGAGGAGGTCGGAACGTAGGGAAGGAAAACAGAACAGCATGTGCAAAGGCACAGTGAACAGCCTGGGGAGGCCAGACAGGAGGGCAGCCTAGCAGGAGATGGGGCTGGAGAAATGGGGCCAGACAGGAAGAACTCTCTAGACTCGCCTACTCTATAGCCTGAGGCGTTTCTGCAGGGGCGTGGCATGATCAGACAGACTCTTTATTCCTGAAGCAGCTCAAACTTACTTGAATCTCATATAAATGAACTGGAGCCACAGCCAGGCAAGCAGCAGCATTATCAGCATGTTGGGGAAGGCGAATCCAAACCACGAGGCGAAGTTCACAATGTCTCCGCTGTCAGGAAACAGTCTGAAGGGAGAAACACCATCCACGTCTCTCCAGACACCGGGCTGTGCAGGGTGGGCCAGGCCCTGTGGGTAGAGGCTGCACAGCAGCTGGGCCCCCAGAGCGGGGCCAGTGGGGGCCTCATCCTCCTGAGGGCAAGCTAGCCAAGGCCATCACCCAGCATAACCCCCAACCAAGGGGGCGCCCCAGAACACAGCCACGAACAAGACAAGCCTGAGGAGTGACCAACTGACCCTCCTATGGGTCCAGACCTGCTGAGAACCTCATGGAAGTCACAGCCCTTCTCTCCAGAAAAATACTCATTTGTACACACAAAGTTTGGCCAACAGCTTCAGGGGCTCCGCGGGGGCCTCAGAACCCTCACCCGTGGGCGTCTACCAGGGAATGGCCTCCATAGGAAAGCAGCTCTCAAAAGCTTCCCAGGGTGGGACTGGAAGTCGTTTCCTGGGGGCTGGAGGAGGGTCACCTCCGCTCCAGGCGCCCATCCCGCCCCAGGCACTGCTCCCTTCAGCCCACGGTGTCACAGTGGACGCAGAGCTCTCCCGGCTCAGCCCAGACAGCCGCCTTCCCCAGAGGAACTCCAGGGAAACCCGTAAGGCTGTCATTACAGAAAACACTCGCAGGACCAAAACAGTCTGCTGGTGGGATCTCAAGTGTCTGCCCGGCCTGCTCCAGCCTGTCCTTCCCACCTCCCAGCTGCGCTCTCCACCCCTGCCCGGGGCTCTTGTCTGCAGGGGACGGACACCATTGTACTTCAGTCCCTTCCCTCTGTGCCCACCGCAATTGGTACTTCCTTCATTACTGCCTCTACTGGACCTGCCTGGAGCTCTCCGGGCGGCTGCTCCCCTCAGCCGATGGTGAGTACCCCAGGGCAGGGCCCAGGTCTCTCGCACTTCTGTGATCCCAGCCCCGACAGAACTGGGGCCCTCAAGGCCTGTGTCCCTTTGTGGCCAAGGCTGGAAAGTTCCAGAATCCCCCTGTGGTCCACCCCCTGAGGGGTCTTGAGCTGGTGCATGGTGCTGGGACACAGAGGCTGATGGGGGCACATCCTCCCAGCCCTACCAAGTCCCCAGCTCCAGGGCCCAGCTGAGGAGGAGGGAGAGTGGGTGGGCCCCTCCAACCCCAGGGCCCACATTCTTGTCCTCAGAAGGCATGGCCAGTGACTCACTCATGCATCTGGCCCAGGAGCACCACGTTGGGTCCCGTCCCAGTCAAGGTGGCGGTGCCTCCAATGCTGGCCGAGTAGCACACGCACAGGGTCATGGCCTTGCACATGCTCCTCCTGTCTTGGTCCTCCTGCTGCCCCATGCCCGGCCCTTCAAAAATCACTTGGCTCCCTGTGGAGGCACAGCGCTGTGAGCTGGTCCTGGAGGCATGCCCAGCTCCCGCTCCTCACCCAGCTGCTGACCTGAGGATTGGGACATGCCAGCTCTGCTGGCCCCTCCTCCCGTTTTCCTCAGCCTCCGGCCCAGAGTTGTAGTCTAGCCCCATCTGCCTCCCTGAGGTCCCTTCTCGAGTTCACTTCCCACCGCTTCCCCAAGGGTCCTCCATGCTCCATGCAAATTCAGCAACTGAAGACACACGGCCTTCTCTCCTGTCTCCTTCCTGTTGGTCAGGCTGTTCCCTCCATCTGCGGGTCCAGGTCCATCCCGGGTGTCCTCTCCTCTTCACAAACCCTCTCTCTTTCCTGAGCTCCCTCCGTGTCTGGCTTATGGCATCTGTGGCTTCCCCCAAGTCAGGTGAACTCTGCGAGGGCCTCTTTACCCTGCCCCACTAGGCTCCATCCGTCCGCAGCAAGAGTGTGTCTGCTTCATCTAAGTGGCCCCAGAACCCGGCCCAGGGTCTGGCTATCAGGCCATCAGCATGGGCCCTGAGCCCGTCTGTGCTGGGCCCTGGGGATGGAGCAGTGGACAAGGCAGAGAAGAAAACAGATGCTCGCCGGCTTCCCTGAGCTCAGCGCCTAGAGGGGAGGCACCTGTGGGGAAACCAACCCCAATGCCTGTGGGAGCAGAGGGTGCAGGGAGGTGACCTGCTCAGAGAAGGCCTTCCTGAGGATGGCTCGGAGTAGCACGAAGTGAGGGGTCCCAGTAATGCTCAGAAGACGCCCAAATGAATAAAGTGAACACATACTGATGGCCATGATTGGCAGGAACCAAGGGTGGGAACTTGCTATAAGCTCCACTAAAGGATCTAATGCAAGAATTACATTCCTAAAACTTATGTAAACAGCATTTTCTAAATATTTCTCTGTACGCCTGTTTGAAAGAGGGTTCCAGGAGGCAGGGAGACGGCCACAGCTTTTGGCAACAAGAGGGAAGGCTGCCGTTGTGGGCCCCCGCGGGGCCCTGGCCAGGGGCTCACCTGGCAGCTCACCAGCTTTGCCCTTGTCCGCCAGCTCCAGGGCCCCGAGGCTGGCCTCCGTGGCTGCGCTCGTGGCCTCCATCTGCTGCAGCATGGCCTCCACAATGGGCACCATCATGGCCGTGGTGGCCGTGTTGCTGATCCACATGGAGAGAAAGGCCGTGACGCCCATGAAGCCCAGCATCAACCTGCAGAGGAGGGCAGGAAGGAAAGCCAGAGAATCCCCCACCCCGCAGCCTCTAGGGAGCAATGGGTGCTAGGTCCCCCTGTAGGGATGGGGGTCAGGGCCAAGGTGCTGAGGCCAGTTCAAGACTAGGTAGTCCAGGAGCGGGTAGCAGTCCTAGTGCCTCTCTCCTCCCCTGCTTCCCATCCTCCAACCCCTCCTTCCTTCTTTTCTCCCCCCCACCTCCCTCCCACAAACATTACTGATGTCCCCTCTGCTGGCTACCAGGGCCACCAGGGACCTTAGGCCCCTTGTCTATCAGTGGAAGCATGAGCATTCAGATGGTGCCAACCCAGTGTGGAAAGTTGGCCCTAGTAATGACCTGGGGGAGGCGGTGCTGGAGCAGCCCTAAGTGCAGGGAGCCCCAACTTTCTACTTCTATCTAGAATATTCTCACCCACCCAAAACCCTGCTTCTCCTCTCATAAGTTCAGAAGGGCTGCACCTGGGCAGCCTTCAGGGGTAGGGCGAGCCAGGGAGGGGTCTGGGGAGGTGTGACCGCCCTCATGGCTGACCCTGCACCATGTCTCTCTGCACATGTACTTGGTACCCCTGCCACTCTGCAACGCACCGGATCAAACACACAGTATTCAGATCATACATTCCCTTCACTTACAAGACCCCTTCTTCTACCTGTGTCATCTCTGCCATCTGCCTAGAAAACTTTCCATGGTCCTTCAAGACCTGCCGGACAACATCCCTCCTCTGTGGCCTCCCTCCCAGCCCACACCAGGCGGGGCCGACCACACCCTCCTGGATCCCCCCTTCTACGCTCATCACTGGCTGGATTCAGAGGACCCATTTCCAGGGAAAAGCTCTGATTCTTCTGCATGGCTCCCATGCATCCTGGCCCAGGGAGGAACAGAAGGCGCTCAGGGAGGGCTGGCTGCATAGAACTCAGCTGCTCTCAGTCTCTGTGCCCCTCTGCAGTCCCCAAGGCCACTAATTTGTCTGAAGAAGGGATCTGGGGCCTGCACCAAATCAAGAGTCCAGCTGGTGTCCACGCAGGTTGACCTCATGGACCCATAAGAACAAAGACTGGGATTCAGACTAGGAGGAGGGTCAGAATTTGCATAAATGAGGCTGGTCTTAGAAAGCCCATGACTTCTACATGATGCTTCAGGGCATCAAGGGGACCTCAACATAAAGGTCACCCCTAGGGCAGGCAGTGCCACGGACAGCTGAAAGCAAAGCTCAGAGGAGGAGCCTGGCAGCAAGAAGGAGCGGAGAAGCATGTGTGAACTTCCTGGCAAGAAAGAGAAGGTGTAATTACTGTGCGGGCTTGGCCCCCACCCAGAGGAGTGTGCGCAGGGCGATCCTCTTGTGCAGGTTCCAGCGCTCCACGGCCACAGCCACGATGAGGCCGCCCAGGAACAGCATGTTGGTGTCCTTCATGTACTGGACACACACCTGGAGGGTGGCATGGAGGCCCTGTCAGGGCTGCCCGCTGGCCATACACTGCTTGGGCCCAGGGCCACCCACGTCCCCAGACAGGGGAGCAGACCAGGTGTTGACGTCAGGGAGCAGAGACTGGAGTGGGGATGGAGGGTCAAGGAGTATGTCTCCAGCCAGAGAGGATCCACAGGTGGGCTTATCTGGTCTCTGGGGGCCTAGGCAGCTCAGAGAGGGGCTTGGAGAATGAGCCAATGGGAGAAGCAGGAAGCTGCCAGGATCCCCTGGGTGGGCTCACCTCCTTGGAGTCCAGAATCTTGAGGAGTGGGAAAAGCAGGACAGGCATGAGGGAGGTAATAGCCAGAGGGATGACTTCCGTGCACCAGTAGATGGCCATGAGGATGATGACGTAGGCACACCTGACAAACTGAAGACACAGCCCTGAGCATTACTGACATTTTGAGTCGATGCTTGTTTGTTGTAGGAGGCCGTCCTGGGCATTGCAGGAGGTTTAGCAGCACCCTTGGCCTCCACCCCACTAGATGCCAGTGGCAGTCTCTCCAGTTGTGACAACAAAAAAATGTCTCCAGACTTTGCCAGATGTCCCTTGGTTGGGAAGGATGGGGAATCAATACTGGTTAAAGCCCCCAGGCTCAAGGCAGGACAGCAAGGTGGTTAGAAGACCCGGCTTTGACACAAGACAGACCTGGTCAATGTCCACCGTCTGCCTTTGTTGGCCTTCGGCAGTCACTAACTTCTCTGGGCCTTGGTGTCGAGGGGGAGAGGGGTCGGAATGAGGCCCTCCAGGGGTGGGTAATAAGAGGTGCATTGTAAAGAATTTCACAACAGTAACACTGTCTAAAAGTCTGTCTCCTTCTTCTTAGTGCCATGTCATAGCAATTCTCAACAATGGCATTGATAAAAGGGTTCTCCCGCTCCCAACCCTGGCCCCTCTCCCCGCTTGTTTCATATCCTCACCAATCCTAAGGTGAGGATTTAAGAGTGCCCATTCTTAACGGATGGCACGCAAAAAGTGCTCACTGATTTTTTATTACTTAATGTTAGCAACAGCAGGTGCCACGTGTAGTCAATTTGCACGGCACAGTTCCTGGAGGTGCCAAACGTAACCAACAGAATAGACCCAGGCTAGCTGCCCTCCACTCCCATGCCGCAATCAGGAGGCCCAGGAGATGCCCCATCCCTGACTAAGACCAGTCAGCAAACCTGACCCTCCCCCTAGAACGCTCTGCCGTGAGAGTGGAGAGAGCAGAACGGGATGGGGATGTTAAAGAAGTCTGAGGAGGTGGTAACCCGGCAGAATGAGCTGGATTCTCCCTGCAGAGAGGAGCCCGGTGCCCTGATGCGTTCAGAGCACTTCCTGCAGCTGAGCAGGCAGCCAAAGGAACCCTTGCAGCGAAGATAAAAGTGGACAATGGGATTTAAAAGTCGGCACCCAGTGTGCCTAGCACATAGTGGGGCTCAATAAACATATGTTAAATGCACAACCGAATAAACCATGACTCATTATTTATCTAATTATTGACAAGTAAGGGTGCCCATGAGATGCTGCTTAATGAAAAAATGTAGGTAAGAGAATTTGCTGTGTGTGGGTGTGTGTGTGTGTGTGTGTGGGTGTGTGGAGAGACACAGAAAGACAGAAAAACAAGAGATTGATTGATTTCTGGAAAGATGGTCATCAAAATATTAAGTTACGGGACTTCAGAGTATTGTCATTTTTACTTTACAGACTTTAAAAGTAAGAATTTTTTACGATTTTAATAAAATAAATAACACAATGAATGTATTGTTTATTTTATTAAGAAGCTTTAAAAAAAAAAAGAGCCACAGAAATGGCAGAAAAAGTGGAGCAGAGATGAAGGCAGGACTGAAGCAAGGTGGAGGAGAGGAATAAAGGCAGAAAGCCTGCAGGAGAGGACCAGCCCAGCAGAGGGTGGCGTGCCAGGAAGTCACCACTCCGCTTGAACCCTGCGGGCCAGGCTGCCAAGGTCTTGCTGGCTTCCCGGCCACTCTGCCCCATGCCAGGTACCTCTAGGTTTCCGGGCACAATGGTGTGGCCATGGGGGGCGGGGGACAGGGAGTTCTTCATTTGTGACCAAAACAGAGGCACAAAGGGAGAAAACAAGACAGGGGTCCAGGCTCCCAGTCACCTGCCCCACTGGGTGGGAAACCCCATGAAGGAAGCCTCTAGAACCATTTTCACTCGTGTCTCCTCTTCCCCCACCTGGTCCTCACTCCTAGGGCAGGTTAATGACATGCATGCAAACCCCAAGTTGAGGGGGGTGCTGGCTCAGGGCCACCTGTCGTGTGTGCGTGTGTGTGTGCGTGGCAGGAGTGGGGTCTCCATCACACTCTACCGGAGCAGGAAGTTCAGCTCAGCTGCTATAATTATTCCAGGGAACATCACTCCTCGCCAGCAGAACTAAAATCACAGCTCTCCTGCCTGACTCCCTCCCACAGACGATAACAGCCCCAAATCTCCTTCTACAGAGGAAATATGGCTGTGCACAGTTGGCGTGGCAACCATAGAGCCACCACAGCTGGATCTACTGTCCATGGCCTACCCAGGGCCAGTGCTCACCCAATGGCTCCCACCCCATCCTAGGAACCACCATAATTCCTCTTGGCACCCAAGGCCGTAGAGTATCAGAACCAAACCACCTTGCCCCATTGTACAGACGAGAACACCAAGGCCCAGAGAACACAGGGGCTTGGCTAAAGTCACAGGATGAGTGAATGGTGGAAGTTCGGCTTCCGCCAAAGCAGATTGGCTTCCTGATATCCCAGGACAACTCCACTCCACCAGGACTGCACCCAGAGCATCCCCTAAAAAGCTCCTCTGTTTCCCAAACCTGCCTGGGGCGGTGGGGGGAACCGGAGGTTTCCTGTCTGGGCTGAGAGTGAAAGGGCTGAAAGAGGGAATGAGGAAGGAGCAGCCAGCAGCCACAAAGGCCTTCAAAGGGCTCGGGCCTCTGCCAAACAGGCTTTGCACAGCCCAGCACAGCCCGGCCAGGGCTCCGGGCACCGCCCCCACTCGGCGGCCAAGGCCATTCATTCTCTGCCTCCCTCCCAGGAGCGCTAGGAGGCCAGGGCATGGGACACGGCTTCCCCACCACTCTGGGCCGTGCCACCCACGGTGTGAGCTCTGGGAACATGTCCCGCCTCCTGCCACAGCCACAGCAGGCAGCGAGCAAAGCAGGCCAACCCCCACCTGCCTTTCAGCTGGGAGCAGGATTTTGACTCCGCTGTGGGGCTTCTCAGGTTTCAGAGCTGGAAAGAAATATGGATGATAGATAGGGAAACTGAGGCTCGAAGAAGGGCCAGAAAGTAGCAAAGACAGCCCTCAGGATCCACTTAGGTGAGGCTCTTTTCCTGTAAGTCCCTGATTTGGGAAGCCACCTACAGCTTGGAAGTCCCCATTGGCCAAGGGAAGACACAGGAGAGAGAAGGAAGGAAGGACAGGAGCGCAGGCTCCTTATTGGCACGAGTGGCATTTGGGGCGCGGCAGAGGTGGGGAGGGGGGCAAGCGGTTATGCAGTCTGGGGAGAACCTGAGCCCAGGCTGAGTCTTGGATGGGCTGTGTGACCAAGATCTGTGCTAACTTCCAGGTTTCTGTGCTTGCCGGCACGGTTCTTGCTCCCTGGGGTCTGTGAACCTCAAGATCGGTGCGCCCCGGGGTCTCCGTGCTCCTCGGGATTCTTTGCAGGGCACCTTCCCTCCGGCACCCGGAGCTCCCGAGTGTGCCTGCCCCAGGAGAGCTGTGCCCGCCCTGGAATCCAGCTCAGTGCTCCCGGGGTTCGGTCCCCACTGCTGAGCACGGGGCGCTCAGGTCCGCGGGGCTGCCCCGAGACGCAACTGACCTTGGCGGGCATCAAAACGATGAGTGGCAGCAGCAGGAGCGGGGTGAAGAACAAGACCAGGAAGGACTTGAACTTGGAGACATAGCTCAGCGCCGAGGCCATCGCGCGGGAGCAAGACTGGCGGGAGAGGCGAGTGAGGGGCAGCCAGAGACTCCGCGGGCTTAAGAAGGGGCCGCAGTCCCCGGGGATGGGGGAAGCGGCGGCAACTCCGCCCCCCACGGTGGGGCCTCCCCGCGGCCCCTGGGCGGGGCCACCCCGCGGGGTCTGTGGGGCGCGCCGGCCCCCAACGCTGCCACCCGGCGGCGGCGGGAGGCGCCTGCGGACTCCTGCGCTTCGGACCGGCCCTCCAGGAGCGGCCGGGACCCTGGCACCTCATGACTCTCCAAGTCTTTCCTGCGCTGCCTGAACAGGGGCGCGCCCCGGGGCTGCCAAGCGGCGTGCGACCGGTCATTCATTCTGCCAGCTGTGGCGGGCGACCCCCAGTCCGCATCCACGCCTGCCCCTTCCTGGGCTCTGGGGGTCCCAGATGAAAGTCTCCACCGGCCTCTGGGTCTCTCAGCTCTCTCTCCCCAATCTCTGCACGCTTTTCACCTCATTACTCCCGCCCCTCCCGCCCTGTCCCGGAGGGGGCTCTCGTGGAAGCGATGATCGCATCCCGCGCCCTCCGTACGTCTGGGCTCCCCTTCCCCGTCAGCCTGGCTTCCCAGCTGCCGTCCGCACTGCTCTGAGCTCAGGACCCCTTCCCCTCGCGTGCCCCCTCCTATCTAGCTCATCCCGGGCGCTCTCCGGCGAGCAGAGGAGGCGAGGCCGCTGTCCTCTGCGGTCTGAGAGCCTTTCGCCCTCCAGCGGACACCACGCAGCCCGCGACGCCCGGCCGGCCGGCAATGCGTGCGCGGTTTGAGGGGGCGGGCTGCGCCCCAGCGGCTGCCGCTGCCCGCCTGACCCAGGCAGCTATTACCATTCTGCAGAGGGAAACGGGGGCCCAGAGAGGAAGGGACTTAATCAGTGCTACACGAAGAGGGTTGCACATTCATTCGGCCGCCCGCCTGCAAACAGGTTCTGAGCACCCATTCTGTGCTAAGCACTGTGCTGAACGCTGGAAATAGAAGGATGCAGACTCCATCACCTCTATCCATCACTTCCTTCTCTCCTCCCTTCTCCTCCTCCGCCTGCCCGTCTTCTCATTCTGCAGCTTTCCTTTGGGGAGTCTTACCCCTGCCTGTGGGTTAAGCCGGCTCCTTGGTGATTACTACCCTCTGTCTTCAGCCCAGGCCTGGTGCCCGAGGCCCAGATCTCCATATTTCCAACTCACATCCTAAGTCAAATTCATTGGTTTCTTCCTGTGACCTCTACTAAGGACACACATCCCCGCAGACCTCCTGAGCCTCCCTGTCCTCTGTGTAGTTCTCATTCACCTAACCTGGTTTCCCTACCACCCCACCCCTATTTAGCACGATTTTTACCTATATATTACTGGTGTGATTTTGGGAGGGGGGCGACATTTGGCCCTGAGCTAGCATCTGTGACAATCTCCCTCGTTTTGCTTGAGGAAGATTGTCGCTGAGCTAACATGTGTGCCAGTCTCCCTCTATTTTGTGTGTGGGATGCCACCACAGCATGGCTTAGGGAGTGGTGCTAGGTCAGTGCCCAGGATCCAGGCCTGTGAACCTCTGGCGGCCAAAACAGAGCAGACGAACTTAACTACTACCCCACAGCCATACGGCTGGCCCCTACTGATGTGATTTTTACTTAACGTCTTTTATTCATCACCGTCTGTCCGGCCAGCACCTTTTACAGTGCCTGATCCAGTGTGTGCACTCAAAACTTTTTCCTCTGGGATGTGTGAATGAACGCAAGCAAACCGCTTCAGTCCAGTAATATGACTGCTTGTATAACATGGTGTATATGTGGTTCCACCATGGGCTCCAGAGCCACGCTACCTGGTTTCATATCCTGCCTCTGTCTCCTCCTGACTGTATGGCTTAGACAAGTTGCCCTCTCTGAGCTTATTCTTTCATAAATGGAGATAATAACACTAACTGCTTGCGAAAGGTTGCTCTGAAGATTATATGAGGTAGAGGACAGAGAGTGCTTCGCGCAATTCTTTGGCATATAGCAAGCAATCAGTAAATATTTGCTCCAAGTACATGCCAAATACTCTGCGTGGCAGGAGCAAGGGAGGAAGTCTTCCCAGAGGAGGTGGCATTTGAGCCAAGATTTCAAGGCTAAGTAAAAATTTGCCAGGGGCTGACCTGGTGGCATGGTGGTGACGTTCACAAGGTCTACTTCAGCTGCCTGGGGTTCGTGGGTTCCAATCTGGGTGAGGACATACACACCACTCATCAGGCCATGCTGGGGAGGCATCCCACTTACAAAATAGAGGAAGATTGGTACAGATGTTAGCTCAGGGACAATCTTCCTCAAGCAAAAAAAAAAAAAAAATGAGGAAGATTGGCAACAGATGTTAGCTCAGGGCCAATCTTCCTCATCAAAAAAAAATTGTCAGGGAGAAGTAGAGGCTAGTCAAAATCACCAGTGAATGAGAAAGTATTAAAATTGTTGAGAAAAATCCCAAGATAATTCAGGAATACTTCAGACTAAAGAGCAACAACAAGAGCTTAATAAATGGACGGATTATACCAACTTCGTGGGTAGGAAGACTAAGCACTAAGATAGGCATTCCTCTCCAATTAGGCTATACATTCAATTCAAGTCCAATTAAAATCTCAACAAGATTTTTATTTGACAAGATAAGTCTAAAATTCAGACTTTTGCAAGGAGTCAAGCATAGTCCACACTTCTAGAGAAGTGGGGGGGAAATTGCCTCTCAGAATTCAAGGCTTACAAAGTTACAGTAACTGATGTAAGCATTAACTCTGGGCGTGAGGATCGAAAAATAGGTCACCAGAATAGAATATAGAGCCTAGAAATAGACCTGGCTTATATGGAAACTTGATATACATGTGCTAAATTTTGTGGAATCACACACACACACAAATTGTGCAGTTTTAAAATCGTCAAATCCAGATAAGGTGTGTAGTCAAGCTGGTAGCATTGTCCCGATGTTCATCTCTTGCTTTAATAATCCACTTTGGCTCTGCGGAATGCTCTTATGGGGGCAATCTGGAGAATGGGCTATGGGAACGCTGTACTGTTTTTGCAACTCCTTATGAGTCAAACTATTTCAAAATAAAATGTGATTTTTATCATTTAAGTCTATTTGCACGTACTTGGGCATAGTAGGTAATATTTCTACGGACAGGGCTGGACGATGGCTGGTCGCAAGAGTGGGCCTCACGTGTTTCTGAGCTTTAACTTGGGAACACTGCTTTATTTGTAAACAAGCTTTGGTTGCTAAAAAGTCAGGGCCCCGTTTGCTCAGGGTATTGGATGTTGCCATTAAAAGAGGGTGTTGGTCAGCTCTCCCTAGGCTGGGCTTGCAACTACAAATATTTACTCCAGTGTGGCGGGGCAGCTGGGAGTCTGTGGTCTTGCAGCCCTGCTCCTGGCCGTGGGCAGCTCCATCCTCTTCTCACTCTGGCTGTGGGTCCTCTTCACATGCTCTCATTCCAAGACCCAGGCCGAGGAAGCAGACAACCTCGGGGACACGCTGCTTTTGTGATGGAGAGCAGGAGCCAGAGGGCCGGTGGGACCTTGCAGCACCTCTCAAAACTCTGCTCAGTACAGCATACCCCACATCGCTCACCTTCAGCTACCCAGAGCAAGTCCCACGGCCAAGTTCAATGTCAACGGGGTGGGGAAATGCTCTCTGTCTACCGGGAAGGATGGCAAAGGTGGGGAGGAAATTAATCATTGTGAACAAATCATGTGACCTGCCACACCTGATAAATACTATTAAGTCCAGGGAATTACACTTGTCTTTTAAAAGTCATCTGTGTGGAAACAGGATCAACTTATACGAGTTATAGGAGCTCAGTTACATGAGTTACATGAATTCGGAAGTGAGGTGGCTGTTACAAAGAAGCAAATTAACATAGCTATCAAACTGGAAAACGAAATCCGATGCTGTCTGACAGAAAGCAAGTCAGCTTTGGATGATTAATTTGACATGATAACACATAGTAATACATGATAACAGAAGATCATTTTCTATTTTATTCAATGTATTGAAATTGTATGATGTACTGAAATTAATAATATTTTAATTTCTCCAAATCTTTCTGAGTACATTGAGTCTTAAAAGATGCTTTTACGTGAAAGTGATCTTCGTTATCATTTGAAAATCCTAATAAAGTCTTTTTGGTGTCCTTCTCAAAAGTTGAGCAAGAAGATGACTCTGAAGACTTCTCAGGCAGGTGATTTCCAGTTCTTTGTTGTTAGCGAAACTGGAGGGAACCCAATCAAACCGTCAAGTGACGCAGCATCATAAACGATTTTCTAAGATCATTATGTGACTTTGGGTGAATTTGGTGTAACTTGGGAAAAGTTCATGGAATTAAGAAATACTGCTTTTAAAAATCTTCCATTCCTGGGGGGTCAGCCTGGTGGCGCAGCGGTTAAGTGTGCACGTTCCGCTTCGACAGCCCGGGGTTTGCAGGTTCGGATCCCAGGTGCGGACATGGCCCCGCTTGGTAAGGCATGCTGTGGCAGGCGTCCCACATATAAAGTAGAAGAAGATGGGCATGATGTTAGCTCAGGGCCAGTCTTCCTCAGCAAAAATGAGGATTGGAGGCAGATGTTAGCTCAGGGCTAATCTTCCTCAAAAAACAATAAACTTTTCTATTCCTATCTGTTCATTCCTATCATTCATCTATTCTGAGCACAGTTGCTCAGAACTCACGTCTATGACAGAAAATAAGGATAGAATTGATGCTGAATCCTGCCTCTCCCAAGACATGAGTAACATTCACCCATGTCTAATTGAAAACAAAAAAGCCCCATCAACCATATTGTGCTGAGTTCCAATCAAGTTCCACTTTTTAAGTATAATAATTATTTATCAAAATCTTTGTTACATTTATGTTGCTTTGGTCAAATGCATACTAATAATTTTTGTTGTCATAAGAAAAAGTAAAAGAAAAATTTAACACTTAAAGCCTTACTCTCATAAGCAGCTTTACAACATTAATATTTCAATTTATACAGTTTTATTGCAGAAAAACATGATTGAGAGAGCAATAAAAGACTTTGAATAAAAAATATTTTAACAGGGGTTTTATGAGCTAAGTGGAATGGAAACATAAGATAAATGAGAAAAAAATTAGTTACATAAAATTTT